GCATTACTTAGCCCTAAATGATCACGTTTCAGTACGCGAGAACGGCGAATACTGTCCATATGCTCGTGACGAATGTTCCGGTGCACGCTATACTAGAATACCTTTGCGAAAGAATGGAGCTAGCGTTCAGCTGGGCAAAGTTTTGAAGGAAGACTATGCTGGGACGTGAGGAACCGGTGTTTAACAATGCCGTGTTCTGCCACGTTGGGCCTGCGGTATGCTTCCTCGCTATAGAGTGAAGTTACGGTGATTGTGCGGTGAGATTCTTTCGCTTTATACTCACAGAAATGACGCATTTTCCCACGTCATATTGCGTGCTAACAAGCGTTCTTGAAAAGGACGGCATCTCCGCTGTGCTGACGCATACGTCTCGAGATTACTCGAGGAACGGGAACATAAAAGCAGGGCCCCCAAAGTTTCAGCGTCTCCCAGGAGTAAATAGAAGAATCCCTCGTGGGAGCAAACTTCATTTTTCCCGGCTTCATCCGTCGCGTCTAGCCCGTGTCCCAGGGGTAGCGTAAACTGCTGCTTGGCAAGGACGTACAAGGGGACCCAGACTAAAAGGGCAAACAAAATACTGCGGCACTTCTCCGTTGCTTACTTCGTGGAACCCACATCGTACTGGTGTGCAGCCAGACGCTATACCTAGAGCTGGAGCGCGGATGGGGTTTGAAGAATAAAAAGAAGTCTTAGGAAGAAATGCGCACAATCTCGAGCTCTTGTTCCTCCAATTTTCTTTGCCATAATTGACGCCATAGTGATCGCAGATTGTTAAAGGTGAACCAAGGCGCTTTTTCTTTGTATGCAATGGGAACGACTATCCCGTATAGGGAAGGAACGGACCCATAAAAAAAATAAAAGCCTTGCGGGCAGATACGAAGATAATGTGAATAGTCTTCCAAGTTTATGTTGCGGACAGAGCCCATGAGACGGTGCTTCAGTCAAAAAAGAAAAAGAAAGAAACAGGGTACTCAAATAAACGTGATCCCATATTCCTTTTTTTGTCTTCTCACTTTATTGTAATATACATCATTACCCTTTCCCCCGAAAGATTTTCGTACCAGATCTTGTTTTGCAGCACCCGTGTTTTTGCAGCACTGCCTCTGAGACCGGCCCTCGTTTAACCAAACGACTATAGTGTGCGATGACGTCATGGCGACGTTCGATGGCGTCTGGGACGTGTCATGTGGTGGTATCATGGTTTGACGACGAGTTTTTGCATCACGCTGTATTGACGCCACCGACGGCTAGTTTGCGCGTTTAGTGAGGCATTTATTGCCCACACGTACGCGTTGCAGCGCATTCAGCGCGCGTCTTGTAGACTCGGCGCTGCACACTCTCTCTATGAGGAGAAAGAGCTTTCGCAATCTATAAGGAGAGGAGGCACTTGCCCTCTCTTTACATGGGGAGGGGCGTGGCGCCACGTCTACACGCCATGCGCTGACGCTCTGTAACGCGTACGAGTAGTCAGACCTTACGAATTTCGCCTTAAATATGGGAAATAAGTCGCTCGCCGCTTGCTTCACTAGTGGGTCTCTCTAACATGACTGATACTTTGAGCTTTCAGTCGTCATTTGTCTAAAGCATGAAAATAATGAATTTTCGTTTGTGTCGCGAGGCGTAAGTAGGTAAGGAATAATTTAGTTGTATTACTCATAAAGGCCCCGCCGCGGTGGTCTAGTGGCTAAGGTACTCGGCTGCTGACCCGCAGGGCGCGGGTTCGAATCCCGGCTGCGGCGGCTGCATTTCCGATGGAGGCGGAAATGTTGTAGGCCCGTATGCTCAGATTTGGGTGCACGTTAAAGAACCCTAGGTGGTCAAAATTTCTGGAGCCCTCCACTACGGCGTCTCTCATAATCATAGTGGTTTTGGGGCGTTAAACCACACATATAAATCAATCAAATCAATTACTCATAAAGGCGCAAATTATCCTCAATGCTGGAGCGTCAACAATGGCATGAAAAAGGAACAGCTTTCTTTTGTTCAGTGTGACATTATTCCAAAAAAAAAAGGACTCTTTGACAAGTCGTCTACTAAGTCTCATATGCTCTTTGATTCACCTTGGCCTGTCGTGCCCTTAGCTGCAGTAATTCAGTCCCTAATATCATTCAACTATTCCGATAACAATCATATGTACACAATCGGCTGGTTTTTGCCACCACCGTAATATTGGAGTATATGCATATGTATTTATATATTCATAAAAGCTTCCAAGCAAAATAATTAAAAAAATGTTTCCGGTGCGCAGAATGGAACAAAGGAGCTCTCGCTCTCTAGCACGCCGCATTAATCACTGAGCAACAAAAACGCCCGTCTTTCAACGTGCAAACGGCGAGCTATTTATATAAATGTCAGCGGGTTCTCAGCATTACCAGCGATATGGCACGAAGGCCGTGTTAGGTACCCCACTCGTAGAGATGCGCGCTCATTTTCCATGAGGACCTTCTTTCCAAGAGGGCAATCCAAGGAGTTCCGGTAGGGGCTCCCTTCGAAAACCGCATGAATTAGCGCCATATTGAAATTTCAATGCTCGCTCTAAAGCAAGGACTTTGAGTGGACTTCACAACGCTGCTATTGATGCACAGACGTGTGTATAGATCCTTCAGATCACTTCAGACGAAATGAGAGGCGGTTGGGCAGATATATGCAGACTGGCTCCCGAAGCACTATTCTTATGTGAAGAAGCTGAAAGCCTGGTCTTAAAACCCGTGCCGTTCTGCATACATAACTCGTTTTCTGCCGTGGAGCCTTCGTTTCAGCACTACACGCCCTAGTGCATCATTCGAAAACTTTTTCCCGCAAAGATTACGTCTCTTGCATGCAAGTTCTACTATTTCCAGGCATACGGCCTTTTAGCGTCGGCCAACCCATTCATATCGCTTATCGACATTTATTATTTCATTACCAGGAACACACATTCGAATAGAACTACGATTGTGTACTGCGGCACGCAGTGAAAATATCGTAGCGTCCCCGATTGCCGCAATGCATGTGCTCTTACGATTACAATTTATTTACCTATTTTCAAACCCACCTCGAATCTCGCACTACTATCGTACCCTTCATAACATACGCCTATATAATGCACTAAATCATTTTAGTGATAAGTGCTGAACTGAAGATAACAATATTACTTTTTTACCTCAGTGTTACTTTATTTAAGACTATCATGATTCTCATCAGAAAGCCTGTTGTTATAAGCCAATTTTTTGCTACGCGAGGCCCCCAGTATAAAGAGCAAATTATACTTACATCATCACCACCACCATCATCATCATCATCATCATCATCATCATCATCATCATCAGCCTGACTACGTCCACTGCAGGACAAAGGCCTCTCCCATGTTTCACCAGTTAACTCGGTCCTGTGCTTGCTGCTGCCAATTCAAGCCCAAACCTCATAAGCGTGAAAATGCACGCGACAGCGACGAGCGATGCGACGTAGATCGTCTTCGCGCGATCAGTCGCTAGCGCAGGCAAACCTCATTCATGCGACGGCTTCGGCGAGCGAACTCTACTTTTGCTGGCATGAGGCCATCTACTCGCACCAAAAAAACCGCGTAGTGAGCGGTATGCAATTTAAAAATGAGATATATTGTTGTGTAATGGAACGGAAAGTGTTTATGAATGCCTTGCAGTACATTTTTTTACGTAAACATTGCGTTATTTCTTGTTGCGCATACGTGACTCAGGCAGTGTCACGTGCACCTATGTAGTCTGTGTTTTGCGGTCTTTCGCTATTGGCTGCTTCAGCCCAGCACTTCCGGGCGATGAGCGACGGTTTTCAAATCTGGAGAACCGAGCGATCGCGCGAAAACGAGCTCGCGACACGTCGTGCGAACGCCCTGTTTCGTCGCTCATAGCATCGCTCGTCGCTGTCGCGTGCACTTTCGCGCTTATGAGGTTTGCTCTTTATACCCGCAAACTTCTTATTCTCATCTGCCCACCTAACCTTCTGTCTAATTCGCTTGCATTCTCTGGGAATCCAGTTAGTTACCCTTAATGACCAGCGGCTATCCTGTCTACGCGCTACATGCCCGCTACATGCAATTAGATTTACAAAGTGTACTAACTTGTTACCCATATTCATACTAGGAAACAGCGCGATAAAACAAAGACAAGAAAGAGCAAATACCAACGGTAGTCCTTTTTGGGGTTCGTCGATTGTGTCGCACTTATTTTCACTATAGCTTAACTTTTTTACAGTAGACTTTCGAGGTGCCCTTGGTAGTGAAATTTATACAACTTCGTGAGGCAATATATAGCGTGATTCGAAACAAACCGACTGCTATATATTACCGACTACATGTGAGCAGGAAGAAAAAACAAGATTAGCGTAACCGAATGAAAGCACTCATAACTGAACGTACGTGTAATCGCACACTAAGCAAAGTTAAATTTTCGAGGCGCAGCAGAATGTTGTGTTGCCCTAAGTAAACGTTGCTGTAAGTAATTATAATAACAAGGTCTACACAATTAGATTGAAGTTTCATATTGTGAAGTGCAGGCATAGATGAACTGCACAGTTGTCACGCTTCCATTACACTACTAGCGTACATTTACTCCTGCCAGTTTTTCGCTTTAAACTGATGTCAACAAAACTATTCCAATCGGGCTGGCGCTGAATGCCCAGTTATGTTGAATAGAAGTAAATCAGTTCTGCTAGTCGGGCTTGCTATGACCGCTGGAATCGCATCTGCCAAAATATGGGCGTGTCTCAGTGCAGTAGACGTTAAAAAACGGGGAAACCTGACGGAAAGCGGAAATACGTAATCCTTCGACTGAACGATTTTAGACACCACTCAGTGAAGAACGCTGCATCAAACATTGCTTTGATGCAAAGGTTGATGCAAACCCCTTGAAAAAGTCCGCATGAACGTCACAGATGCGTGCAAGGCAGTACAACGGATAAATTTAGAGGGATTAAATAATGCAGCCTAGTGGCCCCACAATAGGGCGAACACCAACGACGAGGCACGAACTCTGATGAACAAGGCACATGTATAAAAGCGGTCTCTTTATTGCCGATTCAAATACATGCACCATCTGTCAGCCTAAAAACTCATTCAGCCCACAAATGAAGTGACAATACATATATAAATGGGCCTATACTCCTGAAAATAGCTATAAACGTAGGCTCAGCTCAGGCAACGCGCCGTGAAGTGTCACCAGATAAGTGGCTTGTCGAAAATCCCGGCAATGCACCAACATTAGCGGCGGCAGCAGAAGTCCGGGCACACTGGTACGTGAATAATAGGTGGAGGAGTAGCTACTTGTCTGGCGTGAAACTTGTGAGAAACAGCCATGGAGGAGGGCCCACGCGACGGCAGAGTTACGGGGGTGGCTGCGCTCGTGGTCGTGGGCGGGTCACCACTGCGTCCTACGATGTGCGTACCGGGCACCGTTTCAGCAGAAGTGCCTACTACGGAAGTGGCATTGCGGACAGTACCAGTCAACGGTAGTGAAGACACATCCACGCCTGCAGGAACGACGGCCGAAAGGTTCACGAGGGGAAAGGAACCAGCGTGTACAGCTGGAATCATGACAGGAACGGAGACTACGGTCATCGGCACGGCTGGTGCGGGAACAGCGTGCTGGGTTTGATGGCCTTGAGCAGAGTGAGCATGGTGGGTGGGCTCGTTATGGGGGTGCTGGTTAGCGTGCCCGCCATGCTGGTGTTGATGTACATGTGCTCCTGCCTGGGTGACCTGGCTGCCATGCATGTGCTGATGGGAGTGGTGGTTATGACCAGCATGCTGGTGGTTATGTCCAGCGTGCTCATGCTGGGCCGCCATGTGTTGGTGCTGCTGATGGAGATGCGACGTATGGTTCAGCCACAGCGAAGCATTCTGCAAGGCTGCGGCAAGTGGTTCCACAAGGCTGTCCATGGCAGTCCTGACGCGGGTGGATAAGTCTGACAGAGTCTCTTGTGAAGACACTAGGATAGAGGGTGAGCCGGCAGCTATTGGGGGTGTGGCTGGAACGGCGGGTGCTGGCCGAGGAACAGGGTGTCCAGTAGGAACCTTGACGACCTGACAGACGAGAACAGCGACCGAGGAGTCATCCTCAACATGAACCTGATGGCCGTGGTTGGCGGTATTCTGCTGGAAGCCTGGGAAGACGTGCTGATGAGATTCCTGGTTGTGAGCAGGAATGCTGTGCTGCGGATGCTGCGACGAAGCGAATGTCCTGGCCGAGGGTACAGCTTGCACGGCCATTGACAAGGCGAGGACAGCGAACACGGCAGTAAAATGCATAGTGGCAGACCGGAGCTCCTGCGTGCAAATCAAAGCATAGAAAATAGGTAACGGTGTACGAAAAGCGAACCACTTATACACTTTTCAGAACAGGCGCCAAGGCACAAAGCAGAAGATAAATTAAAAAATGAGAAAACGAGACGTACCGCTCTTCCTCTGGTGGTGAAGTTTCAGGAGTGTAGCTATCGTGTAGGACGGCAGCGGTTTTATACGCCTCTTCTGATGTCATGGCGCAATGTTATTGGTTAGAGTGGATCACAAGTTTTCAAGCATTGCTATCACGTTTTACGTGACGTAGTGTTGGATACTGATACAGGTTGTGGTCGATAAATAACATGTCTTCTTTTTCGTCTTTACACGCCATGGTGGCACGTGGCTGTGACGTCGAGGCGGCTAGCACGAAGTAGTGATTTTTTTTGTCTTATCCGTTCGCAGGCTGCAATTCAAGTGGCCGAAAATAAACGGGAAATGCTAGCGTGATTCAGTATACGTGTGCACGCGGAGGGCAAAAAAATGTCAATTGGTTAAAAATCAAACCGGAACACACAACTATAACATGCTTGTTTGATATATCATGGCTGCGTGACACGATACTTAGTAGAATGAGTTTTCAAATATAAAATAATTTTCTCTGACTGCAGAGCGTCGTTTTTCTCATATCGTTTTTTTAAAATGCGAAGCATTTCTTAGCGAACTTCAGCGAGCTTGAGCGTATCTATCTATCTATCTATCTATCTATCTATCTATCTATCTATCTATCTATCTATCTATCTATCTATCTATCTATCTATCTATCTATCTACCTATCTATCTGTCCACCTACGTCATTAAGCTCTGCTGTCCGTTTCGCTAATGGTATCGATAGCAAACTTGGTATAGCATAAGATGACTGTATGAAGAACCTATTTGACTAGTCATAACATGAAAATCATGACATGTACGTCATCAATGTCATGACTTACATTTCAGAGTCCTGAAGCTGTCGCGGTGGTTTCGTTCACATGGCATGTTGCAAAACTGGTATGGTATGACATGATTGCAGTCCGAACACAAGCGACCGACGCTAACATGAAAATCATGACATGCGTGTCGTGACTAAGGTACTCGGCTGCTGACCTGCAGGTCGCGGGTTCATATCCCGGCTGCGGCGGCTGCATTTCTGATGGAGGCGGAAATGTTGTAGGCCCGTGTGCTCAGATTTGGGTGCAAGGTAAAGAACCCCAGGTTGTCGAAATTTCCGGAGCCCTTCACTACGGCGTCTCTCACAATCATATGGTGGTTTTCGAACGTTAAACCCCACATAGCAATGAACTGCTTGTCATGTAACAACCTAACTACATACCATGCTCATGATGCGCTCATGGCTGTTTCGCTAGCGTCACATATACCAAATTTGGTATTACGGGACGTAAATGGATGACGCAGGTATGTAACTGGTGCAAACATGATAATAAAGAGATGCGTGTCATGTGAGAACATGACTACTTACCACAGTCAAGGTGCCAATACATTTCGACGTGACGCGGTGCGCGTGCGTCCAGGAAATCGTTTCGTCGCGCCACGCCGGCGTTGCCAGGCCAGTCGCTGATCTTGCCATATCTCGCAGGCGCGCAGCGCACTGCGTTTCTTTGACGCATGCGCGTTTCAGCGCGCCTGCGTCCCTCCGTCACGAAAAGAGGGAGACGCAGGGTTGTCTGGGTAACGCATCAGCATGAAATGCAGCATGTCGCATTTCGCGCCGGTTGCCGTCGGACCACGCCGTGGACGCTGGTAGCGCCGGTCGCTCCTGGCGTCAGACTAAATAGTGCTCGCTCTTTGCTAACGCAGCGTCGCTGAGCGCAGCGTGCGCGCACGTCAACGCTACATTGGAGTATACTGGGCCCTTCATGATGCGTTCGTGGCTGTTTTGCTAACTCCACATATACCAAATTTAGGGTTACGTCACATCAATGGATGACGAAAGTACATGACTGGTGCAAACATGATAATGCTCACAAGCGTGTCAATAAAAAAATGACAACATACCACGTTCATAGTGTGCTCGGGGCCGTTTCGCATCTCCACATATACTAAATTTGGTATCACGTGACGTGAATAGATGACGAAAGTAAACGACACATCTAAACATGATAAACAAGACACGTAAATCCTGCACGGCATCATTTACCTCCAACTCGTAACATTGTGCTGGTTTTAGAGTGACATATCAACCTTCCTCATTCGTGCTTCGCATATCATCGATTCCCACTGTACGTGGGATCTGCCTTTTTTTTTGCTTTCATAATGCACTGATTTAGCGAAGTAATTGATAGCAGATGTTATTCAAAAGAGGTTTTTTAATCAATTATTCAGTTTTATTTTGCATTTATTAGAAAAAGGTAATCAACATCAGGACAGGAGCAAAAGGCTGATATTTAGCAGCTTGACAAAGGTCTGGCTGCTAGAGAGCATTTGAAGAAACTCGAGTAAATTGGAAAAGTACATTTACTCGTTCACTCATTTGTTTTGTAGCGAAGAGGAATGAGTTATATAGTGGGTGACAAATCTAGTAAGTCTGCCTTTACCAGACACTGCTGATAGAAGCCTTCGCTATCGAATTCATCAATTTACCTGCTAATCAAGATAACGATCGACTCTCACACCAGCATGAAATAAATGCTTTGACAGCTTCTATATGCATGTGCTTATATTATTTACTGCTCCCGTTCACAAGATATACAATCCGCTTTTCGAAGCGTTTACAATCAAACGCGGCACCATAGTAAGTGCTTAAAATAGAAAGAAAGAAGATGAGGTATTGACAAAATATTACTCGTTCTATAAGGTCTAGAACACAGAAGGATCTTTTATAATACTCACAATCGTACCCAAGACAGTCGCTTTAACGGATAAATTGAAAACAGTAAGATAGAAATAAACAACAACGTTTTTTTGTAGTTTTAAAATACAAGACGAAAATATGTTTCCTTATTACTGTGAAGTACATGCGCAGACAAAAAGTCCCTATTCAGTAAAGTACAACCTCTACCCAGCCTTGAAATAAAGAGAAATAGGCACATAAAATTAGGATAGGCTGCTTATGTAGCCTATCCTAATTTTATGTGCCCATTTCCCCCACTCAGGTTACTCTAATGGTAATTCCTATAACCCCCACTCAGGTTAGTCTCTAATGGTAATTCCTTTCAAAAGTTAGTTTTCTCTTTCTCTTCACAACTTATCTTCCAGTCAGCACGCGTAGGCTAACTGAAATTTCCTGTCCGTTGCTATCTAATTTGAAACTCTCACGTCGCCACACGCCCTGCACATTTTAAGGCCACGTAAAAAAACTTCGTCCTCCTGTGTGAATGGGCACTGGTGTTCGCCGAACACACTTTGGAATTCACAAAGTGTCCAACTTTAAGGGACGAAGCTCCTTAAGGCGTAGGCTTGCCTACCTTTGTAGTTGTCTGTCCTAGACCCTCCTATAGTACTCGGAGCGCTCACTAGATGGTGATGGCGCTACGGCGCTCACTCCACTCTGATGTGTAGGGGACAGACAGACAGACAGACAGACAGACAGACAGACAGACAGACAGACAGACAGACAGACAGACAGACAAACAGACAGACAAATAGATAGATAGATAGATAGATAGATAGATAGATAGATAGATAGATAGATAGATAGATAGATAGATAGATAGATAGATAGATGTATAGATAGATAGATAGATAGATAGATAGATAGATAGATAGATAGATAGATAGATAGATAGATAGATAGATAGATAGATAGATAGATAGATAGATAGATAGATAGATAGATAGATAGATAGATAGATAGATAGATAGATAGATAGATAGATAGATAGATAGATAGATAGATAGATAGATAGATAGATAGATAGATAGATAGATAGATAGATAGATAGATAGATAGATAGATACACAGACAGACGAATGGATGGAAGGACGGATGGATGGACAGTAATTTCCGATGATGTACTGGGCAAGATTCACGGAATATTCACTGTTTCACCGATGAACCTCTCGAGGTTCGCCTAAAGATCATAATTCAATGCGGGGATATGCTGGGATTTTTTTTTTTTCTGCGGCAGTAGAGCTACAGCCCATACAGGCACGCGCATGCGTGGTTAACCGGTCATTTGCCAGGTTAACCTCTCCGACTACTCTCATATTTTTTCCTGCTTCCTATACGTGAATGAACAACGAAATGATTATGAGGCATGCGATAGTGCTAAGCTTCGATTTCGACCGTCTGGCGTTCTTCCACGTGCACTGACATCGCAAAGTGCACGGGTCACCAGCATTTCTTCTTCTTTGAAACGCGACCACCCTGGGTGTTATCGAAGAGCATAAGCGGTTCGTGCTTCCGGCTACATGCAAAACTTATTTCGGCATATGCTGCGCCACCTCATTGGTCGTTTCCTTCCGATATAGCAAATTCGTTCACTCCCGCATAACTCACTGTCAATGCCATGCGATAGAGGAACAGCTGCAGATAAAAAGAATGCACGGAAGAGGCGATGAGACATAGTTTTGAATGAAATACCGCCTTATAGGCTTTGAAACCCTTTGTCGTCCGGGTTACGTAGACGTCGGGGTGTTGCCATTGGCATGCACGGGGACCCGCGTTTAATGCACGGGGATCGCGTTCTCTGTAATTCAATGATTGACTTCGCTGTATCCCATGATTTTACTCAAGTTGTTCAAAGTCCTACCAGAGGTGGTTCAATCCTGGACCTTGTTTTCGTTACAGCTGACCTTTTGAATGATGATTTTGAGTCCGAGGTTGTAGAAGGTATCTCGGATCACAATGCAGTCTTTGTCCAATTTTCTATTCACTAAGAACTTAAGAAACCAGAATACAAAGTTCTTACTGATTTCTAACGTGCCAACGATGAAGGCGTACTTTCCCTGCTAGCAGATTCTTATGCAAATTTTCTTCTTTCCAGCAACAGTTATCATTTCTAAATTCTGCATATCTAAATTCGTGCCAAACAAATGCGAAAAGCGCAATCCTAAACACCCATGGTATAACCGAAAAATACTACAGTTTATTCGCCGCATAAAGCGACTACGTCGCCGATGCCGCTCTAATCCAAACCATCAATTCACTTTGTGTACGTTAAAGGTAACACTGAAAAATAAAATGCACGAAGCTAGAGATTTCTATTATAATAACACGTTGTCAACGTTCATCAGGGAAAATCCGATCAAATTTTGGAAGACAATTAATCCATCCTCCAGGAGAACCTCCACTTTCATTATTGAAAACGAAATATGTTCAGATGTTCAGACGATCTCGGAGGCCTTCAATAGTTACTTCAAGTCTGTTTTTACCGCTGATAACGGTAAAGTTCTTTCTTTTGTAGCTCCCTCTGTATCGGTAGCCATTTCGGATATTGAGTTAAGTTGCTCTGGAGTTTGTAATCTCTTACTCAACATAGATATTACTAAAAGTGCTGGCCCGGACGGTATCGCTAACGCTTTTCTGAAAAGGTATTCTGAATGGTGTGCACGATACCTCATAATTATATTCCAGAAATCGCTTGACTCCGGACGGGTCCCACGAATTTGGAAGATCGCTAATGTTGTTCCTATTTTCAATTCAGGTAAGAAGGAAATAATTACTAACTGCAGACCAATCTGATTATTATCCACGTGCTGCAAGCTACTCAAGCACATCATTCACAAGCACATTATTCAACACCTAACTGACAACAGTATCCTTTCAGAGCATCAGCATGGTTTCCGCAGTGGTTTTTCGACTGTCACACAAGTGACGAATTTACGCATGACGTTGCCTCATCACTTAATAACCACGAACAAGTCGATGCCATTTTTATTGATTACTGCAAAGCTTTTGACAAGGTATGTCATAAAAAACTTCTGCTCAAACTTGGTAACCTTCTTACAGGCCGAAATGCTGACAAATTACTTGATTGGATTACAGATTATTTGTATTTGAGGAGTCAGTTTGTTCGCTACAACCATGAACAGTCGTCACAAGCTCAAATTTCCTCAGGTGTTCCACAAGGCTCTGTCTTGGGACCCCTTTTATTCATAATTTACATTAATGATGTCACTCAGGTTGTCATTAACACTCCAGTTAAGCTTCACCTATACGCCGATGACTGTGTATTGTATTCCAGTGTACGTAGCGTGACTGACCAAGTTTTGTTGAATGATGTGTTTTCTTCCTTTTGCGAATAGAGTAGAACTTGGCAAATGGAGCTTAATTTTCAGAAAACTGTGACAATAACTTTTACAAATAAAAAGGAGACATTGCAATTTAGATATGGCGACTCCAATCACACACTGGAAAAAGTTCAGGAATTTAAGTATCTTGGTGTTGTATTCTCTCCAAACTTGAAGTGGCACAGACACATCGACCTTATTTCTGCAAAATCGCTAAAAAAATTAGGTTACTTAAGAAGAACGCTAAAGGGCGCCACAAGGGAATGCAAGCTTATAGCCTTCAAATCACTGGTCAGGCCTCTTCTTGAATATGCGTCTGTTGTGTGGTCACCACATCTTGCAATTGACATAAATAAACTTGAGGCCATCCAGCGAAAAGCGATAAGATTCATTTTTAACCGCTATGACCGTGATTTCTCCCCTTCTGAGCACTACCGTGCTTTATCGCTAAACTGTTTAGAACACAGACGTATGTGTGATCGGCTTATCATGCTACATAACATCGTGCACAATTCCGTCCGCATAGCCACACCCATTTCGTTCACCAATCATCCTACCCAGGTGACTCGCCGATACAATCCGTTGAACATTGTGCCATTCAGATGTGTTATCGATTGTTATACTCTTTTTTTTCCGTGCACAGTTGACACTTGGAATAATCTGGACGCTACTTTGAAAGGACTACCGCATGCGCTGTTTGTTAAACAAGTGTCCAATTATGTAAATTGATGTTCTTAATTCTGCCGTGGTTCCTTTTGTTGGATCATTTATTGTTTGTTGAACAGGTGTCTAATTATGTAATTTTTATATTTTTATTTAATTGTGACGTTTTTGTTCGTTTATTGTAACCACTCCTGCAATGTCTCAAACAAGAGACAGCAGTATCTGTAAATAAAATAAATAAATTCCCGATCCCGTGGGCTACGAATGTTGCCTGTACAGCGTGCTTTATTGGTCAATCATTTCGCCACGCTAAACATCTGAACATAAAGTGCAAAGTTGACTTACAAAGCGTACAAACTTCGTACACATAGTTGTACTAGGAAACAGCTGGATAACGCGAAGACAGGGAAGATCCAAAAATACTAGCGCTCGTCATGCTTCCACCTTAAACGAATATTAGCGTGACGTAAACAGGGACAGGAAAGAAAAGACTAACTGCAGCGCTGCGACTCCCGTCCCCGTTCACGTCACGCTAATATTCGTTTAAGGTGCAAGTGCATCAACTCGCCCAATTTTCCCTTTGATGCTGGTCCTGCTTCGCGTTTTTTTTTATTGCGCTGATTCACATGATAGCTTATTTTTTATTTACAGTGGACTTCCGAACTGCCTTTAGTAGCTTAACTTTATAGAGCTCAATGCAGCAATAGCGTGAACGATTTCAAAGAAACCGGGTGCCTTGAATGACTATGTGAATATTGGAAATGAATTCAAATATGCACTAAACCGGTAGACTAAATGTTCATGTTTTTACGTCTAGGCGCTTATCGACTGCAGAGTCTTCACGCTGTCATGTTAAGGCAATATACTGCCGCTTTTGCATAGTAAACGGATGTCATCCAAACTGCCCCTATCAGGCTGGCGCTCCATCCGTAGTTATTCCGACTGAAATAAACAATCGGTGAATTCCGCTAGGTGGGCCTTCCATGAACACTGGAATCGTATCTGCCAAACCACTAGTGTTTCTCAGTAAAGTAGATTTAAAGCAACGGAAAAGCGTGATTAAAAGTGAACATTCATGATGTCCCATCCTGCCGCACTAGTTCAGATGCCGTGCAGAAACGATGGCTTTCACAAATCGAAGTTTCACGCGCTGCTTGTTTCACTGTCTGCAGGAGAACCGACATTGCAGCTAGCAGTAGTCGAAGCTGTCAAGCACTCTTAAGGTCTACTGCATGAAAGTCACAGTTGCGTGTGAAGCAGCGCAACCGAGAAATTTTGAGGGAGGTGCCGCGAATCAAACTAGCGGGCGAATAATGGAGCCCTAGTGGCACCGCAGTAGGGCGAACACCAACAACGATGCATGAGCACAGAGGAAGTGGAACAACTCACATGCATAAAAGTGGTCTCTTTATTGCCGATTCAAATACATGCACGATCTGTCAGCCTAAAAAGTCATTCATCGAGCTCTTAAAGTGACAAACTTATAAATTGGCCTATGCTCCTGAAAATAGCTATAAAAGTAGGCTCAGTTCGGGGATTGTGCCACTTGTCGAAACGCTCAGCAATGCGGCAACATTACCGGCGGCAGCAGAAGTCAGGACACACTGGTACGTGTATAATAGGTGGAGGAGTAGCGACTTGTCTGACGCTAAACTTGCGAGAAACTGCTGCGGAGGAGTGCCCACGCGACGGCAGAATTACCGGGGTGGCTGGGCTCAAGGTCGTGGGTTGGTCGCCACTACGGCCAATGATGATGGAACCAGGAACCGTTGCAGCAGAAGCGTCTTCCAGGGAAGTAGCAGTGCGGACAGGACCAGTAAACTGTAGTGAAGACACATTCATGCTTGCAGGAACGACGGCGGAAAGGTTCACGAGGGGAAAGGAACCAGCGTGTACAGCTGGAATCATGACAGGAACGGAGACTACGGTCATCGGCACGGCCAGTGCAGGAACAGCTTGCTGGGTTTGATGGCCTTGAGCAGAGTGGGTGTGCTGGCTAGCGTGCCCATCATGCTGGGGCTGATGGGCGTGTGCTCCGTCCTGGTTGACCTGGCTGCCATGCATGTGCTGATGAGAGTGGTGATTATGAGTAGCATGCTGGTGGTTATGTCCAGCGTGCTTATGCTGCACTGACATGTGTTGATGCTGCTGATGGAGATGTTGCTGCGACGTACGGTTTAGCCACAGTGATGCATTCTGCAAGGCGGCGGCGAGTGGTTCCACAAGGCTATCCATGGCAGTCCTGACGCGGGTGGTTAAGTCTGACAGAGTCTCTTGTGAAGACACTAGGATAGAGGGTGAGCCGGCAGCTATTGGGGGTGTTGCTGGAACTGCGGGTGCTGGCTGAGGAACAGGAGATCCAGCAGGAACCTTGACGACTTGACAGACGAGAACCGCAATGGAGGAGTCTTCTTCAACATGAACCTGATGGCCGTGGTTAGCGGTATTCTGCTGGACGCCTGGGAAGATGTGGTGATGGGAGTTGTGGTTGTGAGCAGGAATGCTGTGTGCCGAATGCTGCGACGAAGCGAATGTCCTAGCCGACGGAACAGCTTCCCCGGCCATTGAAAAGGCGACGGCAGCGAAGATGACAGTAAAATACATAGTGGCAGACCAGAGTTCCTGCGGGAGGGTCAAATCATAGGAAATAAGAATTTCACAACAAACTCTGAGGAGCGTTGCACTTTTCATCAAATCCGCAAAGGGTCAACATACAGGCAGATATATAGAAAAAAAAAACGCGACATACCACTCTTCACGTTGAGGTGCAGTTTCAGGAGTGTGGCCATTGAGCAGGACGGGAGCGCTTTTATACGCTTGTTTCGATGTCATGGCACAGTGTGATTGGTTAGGCTGGAACGCATGCGTTCTAGCACTGCCCCCGTGGTTAACTTAATGCAGTGTTCAACACAGATACGAATCGAGGCAGATAATGCAAGTTTTTTTACTTTATATGTTAACGATGGTGGCACGTTGCTGTGACGTCTGGTTCCCTGAAAGGCTCTGTGGTGTTAATCACAATATCATCCCGGTAAGCCGCAATTCCGAAGGGATTTATATGTGAGATTTAACGTCCCATAACCACCGTATGCTTATGAGAGACGCTGTAGTTTAGGGTTCCCGAAATTTCGCCCACCAGGGGCTTATTAACGTGCACCGAAATCTGAGCACACGGGCCTACATTTCAAAGTCAGATCTTTACGGTTTATAATTATCGTATTTTAGAGCGGAGTTGTTATGCGATTTGTTACACAATGCTGCATCGATACAGAGTGAGCCAGCAGGCGCTCTCTTTATCTGCTATATTTTGCTTCGCTATATAATAACATATAGCATATCCAACGGTAGCATATTGAGCGCGCGCTCGCGTCAACGAGAAGTCTTCTTCTTCTTCCTGTCCTTCGGGTACCTTGATGATGATAATGAGTTGGTCGCACTTCAGGGACGCGATCTGTTGTAAACAGTCGACGGTGTGCGTACCAGAAGCAAAACCACATTTAAAATTTGAAAAAAAAAGGTTGAACCACGTAAAAATGAAAAAAAGGAAATAAAAGAAAAATGGAGAAAAAGATAAGCGAAGAGAGAAACACAATAACTTGAAAACAATGAAGAAACTGGAATCCTGAGAGAAACAAAGAAGCTGCCTAGCAGCGCACTTCCTGCAGGTGTGGCAGTAATAGGATAAAGCGGCCTTAACCTTTTTTACAATTACGGAACAGCAGTGGTCTTGGAGTAGACGTGCTCACTGCGTGACGAAAACTTTCCGCATTCACGCGGGTCATTCCACGTGTAGAGCAATATTTAAGGAAAGCAGGCTATGCACTCTATGAAAAGGAGCCGAAAAGAATAATACAAAGAAATTTCTGTTCGTTCGAATACTGCCATATAGGTTAGCGATAGGGCACACTTTATTGAGTTTTCGTGTTTGCGTCACTGAATCCCCCAAATGAGGGAATTTAACTCCAAAATTTCGCCTTTCAACGTTTGCTTAGAAGCTCATAAGAGCGGTACGCTTTAAGTACTCAACATCTGTGGGCACTCGCCGGCTGGATTTCGTTCCGACCGGTTGTGCCCCAGCGATCTCCGACGACAGCGCAGCTCTGGCCAACTAGGCTCGCCCTACGCCATCTCCTGACGCCGACAAGAGCTCTCGCCGAGTGGTGCCCCGTCCTCGGGCTCCTGCGACCGTGTCCATCTTTCCTATCTCCTACTTCCGTGTTTTCTGTCTTTCGCTGTCCCTGCACCTCGCTCTCTTTTTTCTCTCTCTCTCTATCTCTTTACTGCTTGATTTCTCCTTTACACTCACCCCTCGTGAGCTACTGTTGAGGTGTCCTCCACCTGAGAGACAGTTACGGGGCTCACTTCTCTCTTCCTTTCATTTAAAATCACTCACAACTATTGTGGGTTCATCACAGTGAGAAAAGAGGCGCAGAAGTCTTCGGCTTCTGGTGTGGTTAGTTTAAGCAAATTGTCGTTTCTATATTTTTTCCTGTAATATAGCACGACACTATATTCATGAAACATCTGACGTGTCACATCTGTCGCTTTTAGTATCTAGCAAAATTATGCCCGTTGCTTTTTTGATATCTACGCAATCATTGTCTGTAGTTTAACTGCATCACTCCCGGGAGTTAGGAGAGACGTTTCGACATTCTCGGCGGACGGGCAACGCAGCACGAAAGAATTCCCGTGATCATCTAAATGGTTCCCCGTCACCTAATTGTAGTGGTTCATTCCAGGTGGAAAAAAACGATGCATTACAGATACATTCATAACAATTCCGCGCGACTAAAATTTAATTACCAGACATTGTTCTTTCAAACATTCGAAAGCTTGGTCATTTTGATATATCAGCATTGTGCAAAAAAAACAATATTAGTTAAAGGGGCCTCCAACATTTTTTCGGCATTGTTCCAAACCACTTCCAATCGATTGTTCAGGCCCCCGAGCAGACGTGAGTCATACTTTACTGCAGGGCCCTTGAATATATATATAAACAAGAAAGAGATGTGTTAAGAAAAAGAAAAACACAACTTCTGCAGCCGTAATTCAGAGCACCGCTCAGCGCCCACCTGGAATTTAGAAATAATTCTCAAAGTCAGCGAGAAATGCCTCACTCTCCTCTCCACAAATGATTCTACAAACCCAAATGATCAGGATATGAACAGTAACACACTGGACACTGGCTGATTTGAGCATCGTCAGCAGCATGTTCAGAGGGATTTCATCTCTTTGCTCTCAAGTCTATTCTTTCTTAAAGGCGAAGAAATTTAGCGTCGAGGTTTATCGATCCACGTACGTATCCCGCACGGGAAGATTCGTGATTGTGAGACACGCAAAAAAAAAGGTTTAACAATTCAATAATATCAGTCATAATTGCAACAGAATAATATAATAGACCTACAAGCAGAAACCTTTTATACCAGTCAGCGACTTGAATGTACACATTATAGACTTTAGGAACGAGCTTCGTCATCGACTTTTTAGGTCGCTTCCTTTCGCTCAATATACATTATACGAGGTAACACATATCAGAAGCAGCAAAATTCTGACAGTACACTAATATGAATCTTACTTGTGATGGAGAAATATGAAATAACCTTACACCACTGTTTTGTATTTACGCCTAATTAGATGTGAAAAAAAGGTAATTGCCCTACTTTGTACACCTAAACTGTTTCTTGCTACGTACCACACTCATTGTATCGTCATTGCGACAGTACTGACATTTTTTTTTGTGTGTGTGATGTGACTTGTACAATACATCGTCTCACAGATTTGCATCGTCTTGAAGAGCGACTGCAGTTTCTGAGTTTTCAATAAGAAAGGAAGGAAGCAGTTTCAATAAGCTGTCAACTAACATATACGGTATTCTTAGGAGAGACAGGTGGAACCACCAAAATGGTTGGCATGTGTCTCTTGAACATGACGCCGTCACAAGCTTCAAGTATAAAGACCTGTTTTCAAAAAGAAAACGCTCAGGCGAATTGCTGATCAACCTTTCAGGTACAAATGCTTTTTTTTTTGAAGTAGTGTTTGATCTCACGGTAGTTGAATTGCCAGAAAAGGTCATCGATATACTGTCGTTGGTAGATGACGACATAGCTAGCTTAAATTTGTATGTTTTCAGTGAACTGACGAGTACTGTGATTTTATCTATTTTCTTCCTTTGTGCTGTGGTCCTATAAATAGTCAAGATTATTGAACTCGGTTGTTTTCGATACCTGCTCAATTGACTCTTATATTGACTCATGTTTTTCGTTATTTATTTGCGAAACTTCACAAACTATAGTTTTTTTACTCTTTCTTCTTTTCTTTAAAACCACTACCAGGGGTAATGAGCGCTTGTGAAATGCCCCTGTATAATAAAAAGTGCTTTTGATTTTCTACACATTTGACAACAAACTTTACATATATATATATATATATATATATATATATATATATATATATATATATATATATATATATATATATATATATATATATATAAATATATATATATATATATATATATATATATATATATACAGCTAGGTGGTTTCGTTAACTTTTTCCTACATGCACGCATATCTTCCCAGTGCGCCTCAACTGTGTGGTGACTGTCCCGGAGTGGTACAGTCTCTCCCCCCCCCCCCCCTGTTCTTCTTCTTCTTTTTTTTTTCCTTCGTTAATCCTTTAACGCACATTCTGTTCCTTCACTGACAAGGAACCAATGCATACAATGAATATTGATGGCAGTGCCTCATTCACCGGCTTTTTCGCTACTCCCGATGCCACCAGCATGCACTTAAAGCGCTTAAGCCCTCCCCATTAACTTGTCATACACTTCAAAGAGGAACGAGCCGCCAGCGGACTACACGGAAAGGTGAAATACAAAAACGGCGGCTCCCTGCCCACTTGGGGAAGTGTGGGTGCGGGGGAGGTATTGTTGACAATGATGACACTCCTCATCTACCTCTGCCCTACTCTGTTGAAATGCTACCCCTTTCTAATTACGCCATGTTGGTCTTGCTTCTTCTCCTAGATTTTCTATATTTTATTTATTGTTTGTCCTCCCGTTTCGCTGTTTCTTCCTTCTTTTTTTTTCTCTCTCTTTCTCATTTGACCCCTCCCCTCCTGTCTCGACAGGATATAAAAAGGCACGGAACATGTGTAAATAGTATTATGCCTTGAAAAAGACAGGGTTCCTGTCCAAACGTCGGCACAATAAACAGTTGTTATGTGAAAGCGCATCTACTTTCATATTTATATATATATATATATATATATATATATATATATATATATATATATATATATATATATATATATATATATATATATATATATATATATATATATATATATATATATATATATATATATTATATATATATATCTTTGTTCTTTAATGTACAAGTTAATACGTTATTTTGTTAGCGAGCATTTTAGGAAACCGGTGAAATTGAGTACTTGTTGATGGCATGCGCAGTTCGTAATTAATACTGAAAGCAAAAAAAAAAGAATAAGTAATTTTATTTTCTACAACCTTACCAGGTTTTGTATTTTAAAGCACTTTTTTAGGACTCATCAACTCTCTACTTATAGACTAAATTGAAAATAAAACACATCTCCACCGAATGAATGTTTTCGAGTGGGCTAAGTTCACTCCTGAGGTCCTTGATGTCCACGTTGAAATCACCGACTAGCAAGAAGGATTAGTTGTAGTAGGTCTTTCATATTTCTCCGTCACAATTAGGATTCGTATTAGTGTACTGTTAAACCTTTTCAGCGTGTGACATGTGTTACCCGAGCACTTCCTCCTGTAATGTATATTGAGCTTGATTAAA